CCAAAAAGCTAAGCATTTTAGCAACCGTTTTTCTTTGACAATGATATCAAAAATGAATCGACCGTTTTCTGTGCAAACGTTGTCACTATCTGATGCGTTAAATCTGAAGGTAATCAAAACCAAAATTATAATTTTGATTTTCACAGATTTTTGTGTCAATTTTCTACAGCAAAAATGCAGAACCTTAACTGGAATCGAAATGCATCATGGCTAATCTAGTGAGCTTATAAAGCGTGTATTTGCTTCTACCTTTATTTCGAAAAAAAAATAACGTAGCCATAGAAAAGCTATAAATTGTAATCGAAAGTTGTTTTTTTTTAACGCGTGAGCCCTACCCGCACCGGAGTTCCTTGGAGAAAAATCATTATAATGAAAAATGTTGTCTAAAATGTTGTCATTATGATCCATTATTGTGGCAAATTTAGACCAGGTAATCGATTATAGTGTCATTATAATCGATTATTTTTGAAAAAACAATCCAATAAAATCCATTATAATGGATTATAATCAAATTAAAATTCACTATAATGGATTATAATCCATTTAAAATCCATTATAAATGATTATAACGGATTATAATCTATACATTTTTTGCAAAATCATTCGCAAAACTTCCGAAATTTCTGCGTTACTCACGGCCTACTCGCAATCTAAACCTACTCGAGTTAACATCCCCCCTCTTTGACCCCCATCAGTCCGCATTTGCCCAAACCCCTTTCCCCCACTAAACGGGGGGTTAAACTAAGATGAGAGAGGGGGGTAATTGAGGAGGGGGTAAGCAATGGGGGAGGGGGTAACCTGGGGGGGGGGGGTGAGGAGGGGGAATGTAATTCATAAACATCCTCCCCCAAAGTCTACCAATAAACAAACCCCCATAAAGGGTGCGAATGCGAATGGTGGTTGTGGTAAACTAGCAGGGAGGTGGGTGGGGGGATGAAATGGGGGGGGGGGGTAAACGGGGGGAGGGGGGGTGTAAACAGGGAGGAAAACGGAGGGAGGTATAAACAGGGAGGAAAATGGGGGGGACAGGGAAGGGGTAAACGGGGTATAAAAGACCAAATTATAAAGATTGAAAAGTGAAAAGCAACATTTTATGAGGCCTAAAATCCCAATATGCGTAGCACCTGCACTAAACTGGAAATGCGATAACTTTGTAAAAAAAAAGTTGTTTTTTCTTATGACTAACCTCTCGAAAATCCATTACAATCGATTATAATTGATAATATTCGATTATGATGGATTGTTTTGTCTCGAAAACAAGTTTCATTTTCATTCAGAAGTAATCTATTTTAATTGATAGTAATCGATCATACTCGGATTTTTTTGACTAAAAAATAGTTTCATTATAATCCATTTTGAATCGATTATAATCGATTATTATCGAAGTTTATTGAGACAGACCACGAATTCCGGTGCGGGAATTCCGGTGCGGGTAATATTCCGATGGTTTGGAAGGATCAACAAAAAATTATATAAAAGAGGCCTTGGGGAAACTCGCATAGTGGCGACATGAGTCGTCCTTGGCCCAGTTTGGTTGCTAAATTCAGATCGATAAACAAAATTGCTGTTTTGCAAAATAGCTTAATTGTTGCCGCATTCAAGTGACTAGATCGTTAGTATATTGAAATTTCGATGTGATATTTTTCGATATGTTATCTCTTTTATCAGCAGCAATCATCTGTAAGCCGTTTGAACTGAAAAGTTTCACAGCGAGGCTTTTAGGTTTTAGTGTTATTCATGACATGAGTTATCAATCACAGATTTACATAAAAGAGCGGTAAGTTATTGCCAAAATTGGTAGGTCTAGATAACTTGATCATAAACGAATGAGTAAAAGAGCAATCAAAATGAGATAGTTAAAGATTCATGACTCATAACAGCTTAAAAATGGCGATCAAAAATTTCGAAGTCATCAAGTCAAAAGAGTAGAATCAAGTCATCCCCCTCAGCGAATACTCAGTCCCCTGCATCAATCTCATCAGCAGCACAAAAAATTATAAGCCGCAACAGCAAACATTCTCCCCTGAACCAACCTACACATTCGACACCAACCTACACAATCAACTAGATCAGCCAACCACGCCCCCTCTTCAACGTCAAAGAGCAGCAGACTTTACGGGATCTGAAGAACGTTCTGCGCCAACCGGGCATGCAACTCGGATCTAGACAGAAAACCTCGAAGATCTACCGTGTCAACTCGAAAACAGATGCGTAGTTAAAAATTGAGTAGCTGTATGCATTTTTTATTCAGGTCAGACCATCTCAAGGTCATACAGATTAATTGAAGCGATTCAGTTTCGAGGTCAAACGCTGATTAAAATGGTCAAAACTGATTACACCCAGACAAGGCCAACTAGTGATCACAAATTAATCAGTAATTATTTAACTGTTATTTTTGTGATGGTTGGTTTTTAATGTCATATATATTCACTTTCTCAATTCAACAACAATCACTACCTCTTCTCAATCCTTAGTTCAAACCTCAGATTATATATCAGTCTCTAACACTAGCTCTTAATCCTATTTGCTCTAACGGTGAATCTTAACAGGTTATGGGCCCATATTTCTTTTTTTTCCATATTATTTTTCTGTAAGAATTTTTAGCTTTTAGCTAACAGCCTTAAGCAACGTTGGAATTGAGAGTGGATGCTTTCAGTGGAAAGCCTGAAAATTTTTCTTGCTTATTCGACGAAGTTTGTGGCTCTGACGCACACTAAGCCCTGTTCAGGACAGTGATTGGCAATGATGCTCTGCACGAAGCTGTGCCTTCTCTCCCCGAGAAATTGAATGCTGATCAGCAGGCAGCCTACGATACCAAGATGCAGGAGCGAGCAGTGTTGATCCAGCAGAGGAAAGACAATCGAAACACTGAATGGTCCCACCTGGCTCTGGTGCTCAACAACACCCTTTTGACTTTCATAAAGAACGACTGCGTGGAATCATATGGTGATGGGACGAAGTCCTAGAAGCTGCTTCAAGAGAAATTTTGCAGCGCAGAGGGGCCGGCGGTGGTCAGTCTAATCGGCCAGCTTGCTGAGCTGCGCCTAGGATCAAAAGAGGACCTGAACGACTACTTCGTTCGCATTCAAGAGCTGATGGAGCTGTTGAGCCAAGGTGGAGAAGCAATCATGGACACACTGTTCACTTCTTCTTTTGGCGATCAATGGGCTGCCTGACAGCATTGAGCATTTTGTTGTGCAACCAGCCTAGACGTTTCCAGAGTTGAGAAGGAGGTTGAGGAGTTACGATGTTTCGATGAAAGTTCGACGTTGAGCGAGGACTGGACATGGTCACATAGCCCTGCAAGCTGTTGGGAGGAAGAAAGGAGTTTCAAGTAGTGGTTGCGGTCAGAAGGGTCATATGGTGAGAACTGCCAATCTAAAAGTGACAGTGGCAATCCAGTCATCGATGCAGTGGGGGCAAGGGAAGGAGCAAGGGTGCTTCAAGTGTGGGCAACCTGGACATTTTGCAGGGTAGTGCCAGCAGGGGAGGACAGGGTTCTTCAGTTGTTGTGCTGCAACTTGATGACCTCCTTGTGGATACGGGATGCATTGATCATGTGGTGCAGAGCAGGGCTGTCTTTTCTAGCTTTGAGAGCTGGAACGAAGGTTCAACTGTTGAGAGCCCCATCGGCACGCTGTCAAGGATTGAGTGTAAAGCATCAGTGTAAGTGCAGACCAGTGAGTGCCATGACGCTGTGAGGAGCTAAATTTTTCACAATGGGCTGTTTGTGCCGAGCTACAGTGTAAACTTGATGAGTGCAATCTCAGCTGTGGCTGGAGGCTCAGGCTTCAATTTCGCCACAGATGCTTCACATCTACAAGCAGCAGATGGGGGATAGCTACCTGTGAAGCAGCGCGGAAAGTTTTCCCTCCTTGAGTGCATGTTCAAGAGGAACCCGTTGACTCTAGTGAAGAAAACAAGGAGGGACACCAGTCAGGCAATGTTATGGTACCGACGACTGGGCTGGGACACCTCAACCAGTAAGATCATTCATCGGTCGTCAATGTGGGCAATCTAGAGACACTCAGGGATCACTTGAAGTATCGAATATGAATGGTGCACGCTATGCCATTTGAGCTTCATTGACGTTCTCAGTCGTCTGGCTGTGGTCAAGAACCTGATTAGAAGTTCCAGGAGTTTGTTCACTGTGCGCAATACTCCCCAACAGAATGGTGTAGCAGAGCGCTACAACAGAGTGATCACCGAGATGACTCGATATCTGCTGGCCGAATCCAAGCTACCGAAGATGTTTGGGTGCGATCAATAATGACAGCTGTGAGGAATCGCAAACTGTGTCCCACATCCAGCAACGAGAAGCTCCTTTCAGCGATAGAGATACACTATGGGAAATCATCAAAAAGAGCTATCTGCGTGTGTTCGGTTGACTGGCGTTCTATCTGGATCGATGCGACAGACGAAAACTGGATCCAAAGGGCAAGAGAAGCAAGTTCATCGGATACGACGAGGAGAGAAAGCCTACTTGTTGATGGATCTAGATACAAGACAAGTGGTGGGAGCAAGAACCGTGACATTCAATGAGAACATCATTCTAGATTACTTTATGGTTGACAGTGAGCCATTTTTCAAAACATCGAGGTATCAATCAAGACATGCATTGATATCGGGCAACCAAACACGACGGAAACCAGCCAAGCCAATTGAGCGCGACATTGCAGATTCAGTGGAGGCCACTGAGGAAAACAGGTTGAGGAGGAGGAAGATGTAGATTCACATTCTACTGATCAGCCAGAACAGAGGTCCGTTAGGACAAGGAACCCACCCACTCGATACGTACTGGCCTATACCCATGCTTCAGTGACTGGAGTCCAAGAGCTAAGAGGCTACTCAGAAGCACTGCCTGGACCCAAAAAAACGCAGTGGTTGGCAGCTATGGTTTTAGAGGTGAAGTCTATAGAAGCCATGTGAACATGGACAATTGTTGATAGACTACAGTTTCGAAGTTATTCTTGGACGATGGGTTCATGCTGTAAATAGAGATGCAATGGGACAAGTGGAGCGGTATATGTAGTGAAAGGAATACTGCTGGCTCTGGGGGCACAAAAGATCTTGTACTTCATCAGAAAGATGTTAAGTCAGCTTTCCTCAGCTCTCGTCTAGCAGAGACAGTGTACTTGGAGCAGCCAGAGGGGTTCAGCAGCGGTGACAGCCAAGTGTGCACAACGAAGTCTCTTTGAACAGCGGCAGGCAGGAAGAGGCTGGTAACAGACGCTGAGCACGTTCCTTCTTGATGAAAAGTTCACAAGAAGCAACAACGACTTCTTTTTGTTCTCGATGAGGAGAAAAAATGATGCAATGATTTATGCGCTGGTTTGGGCAGATGACACCATCATTGGGTGCAGATGTCCAGACAAAATTGAAAATCTGAGGAGCCGCATTATCCTGGTTCCTGCAAATGCAGGTCAAGCAGTCACCTGGGACGATAAAAGTGAATCAATCCAGTTAAATCGATGACTTCTTGAAGTGTTTTGATCTAGCTGAATGCAAATCAGTGGGCACACCAGCGGTCATCAGCTTACAACTGTCGAAGAAGGACTGCCCTGTACATGAAAACTGAGGACTACAAAGGAATTTTGGCTCATTATTGCACACAGCTATGCAAACAAGTCCTAATATCCTAGCTATTGTGACGCTACTCTCTCGTTTCCCGCAGAATCCGGGAAGGGTGCACTGGGTGGCCGCAAAGAGGGTTCTCTGTTACCTGAAGAGGAGCAAAGATCTAGAGCTGTGCTACACTAAGGACTCTGGTGCAGATGCTGATACACTGGTGGTGCATCCACAATGGCACATCGGTTCAAGAGGCTCTATATCTGCGATCACATCACGATGTGATGAGCGTAGTTTTTGATGGACCAACTGTCATCAAAGAGGCCAACTGGAGCTGCATCAAGATGTGCAAGAAACCTTTGATGCAGATGCGAACGAAACACATCGATGTGAAATATCACTTTATTCGAGAACGAGTGGAAGGTGAGACAATTGAATTTCAATATTGCCCTACTGAATTCATGGAAGCTGACTTGTTGTCAAAAACCCTGAACAAGGCTATGGTGGAAGAGCATCGTCGACCTTGAAGTGTTGACGCCTGTCATTGGACAAAGCCAATTCAGCCTGAGTTGGGATGCTGAGGTCAGACCAACTCAAGGTCAGACTGATCAGTTGAAGCGAATCAGTTTCGAGGTCAAAAACTGATTAAAATAATCAAAGCTGATTAAATTCAGACAAGGTCATTTATTGATCACAAACTAAATAATTAACTGGTACATTCAAGATGCTTAGATTGTCATGTCCTTTATATTCAATTTCTCAATTCATTCTTCAACAATCACTACCTCTCCTCAGTCCTCAGTTTAAACCTCAGATTCTATCTCAGTATCTAACTCCAGCTCTTAACTCTAGTTGCTCTAACTCTGCATCTTAACATTTTTAAATCCTCGGGGTGCAAAAGTATAGGATTTGTCATAAAAAAAACTTATCCCATACCAAACAAAAATCAATAGCCACAATTTATTAGTCAAAACTTTGAAACCCAAAAAATGACAAACCAATCTAAGCTTTTCTAAACAGCCCTCATTTTTCACAACCTTTCTGAGCAGGTTATACTAAGAGACTAAAAATTTCCTCGCAAAAGTTAGAAAGTAGTTTCAGGTTTTCTAATTCATCAGAGCTCTTAAAATCTTTTAATCTTGAAAAAAACATAGCCAGTGAGGTTGTATTTTGTATTTCCTAGCTAAGTTTCAGCGTTCAATAAACAAACCGCGTTACTTAGTTTGATAGTTCATACATAAGTCATATCAAAGCCATACCTAAATTGAGCACGCAGATAGTGCAAATAGGACCGTTCTTATTTTTGGCACGGCATAACATGTTGAATTCAGATAGTTCTTACTCATTCTTTATTAAAAATTTCCATTGATTTTTGTAATGTCTTTACGACAATCACCGATGGCTCCAAAAATAGCTCAACAAGCGCGATTTGACCAATGGAATTTTCACTACATTCTTTTTGAAGCTCTTGAACAACAATTTAACCCAGAAGCTTCAAAAATTACTGAAAAAAGAAGACGCAAAAATACTTTCTAACGAGCTATTCAAAGTCTAACAAGAATTTTAAAAATGGGGGCTTCAAATAACTTCCTTTTCTCTTCAAGAAGTTCAAGGTTTTCTAGAGAAGAAATTTTTTCGACGCAACCATAAATGAAAGTTATTGAAATGCATAGATATGAAAAGTATTGCAACGCATAACCGGAAGACAATTTATCTGCCAAACCAATTGAGAAACGATCCACGTCTGCAATTTCCACCAGCGCACTGTTCCCCTTTGAATGTCTACTGCGGCGAACATCAATTACAACGTCTCTACATTAGCCATCAGCTTTGATTCAACTACAACAACCCCGCCATTAATACACTCCTCAGGAAACCAATAAATCGATGACTTCTTGAAGTGTTTTAATCTAGCTGAATGCAAATCAGTGGGCACACCAGCGGTCATCAGCTTACAACTGTCGAAGAAGGACTGCCCTGTACATGAAAACTGAGGACTACAAAGGAATTTTTGGCTCATTATTGTACACAGCTATGCAAACAAGTCCTGATATCCTAGCTATTGTGACGCTACTCTCTCGTTTCCCGGAGAATCCGGGAAGGGTGCACTGGGTGGCCGCAAAGAGGGTTCTCTGTTACCTGAAGAGGAGCAAAGATCTAGAGCTGTGCTACACTAAGGACTCTGGTGCAGATGCTGAAACACTGGTGGTGCATCCACAATGGCACATCGGTTTAAGAGGCTCTATATCTGCGATCACATCACGATGTGATGAGCGTAGTTTTTGACGGACCAACTGTCATCAAAGAGGCCAACTGGAGCTGCATCAAGATGTGCAAGAAACCTGTGTTGCAGATGCGAACGAAACACATTGATGTGAAATATCACTTTATTCGAGAACGAGTGGAAGGTGAGACAATTGAATTCCAATATTGCCCTACTGAATTCATGGAAGCTGACTTGTTGTCAAAAACCCTGAACAAGGCTAGGGTGGAAGAGCATCGTCGACCTTGAAGTGTTGACGCCTGTCATTGGACAAAGCCAATTCAGCCTGAGTTGGGATGCTGAGGTCAGACCAACTCAAGGTCAGACAGATCAATTGAAGCGAATCAGTTTCGAGGTCAAAAACTGATTAAAATAGTCAAAGCTGATTAAATTCAGACAAGGTCATTTATTGATCACAAACTAAATAATTAACTGGTACATTCAAGATGCTTAGATTGTCATGTCCTTTATATTCAATTTCTCAATTCATTCTTCAACAATCACTACCTCTTCTCAGTCCTCAGTTTAAACCTCAGATTCTATCTCAGTATCTAACTCCAGCTCTTAACTCTAGTTGCTCTAACTCTGCATCTTAACATTTTTTAATCCTCGGGGTGCAAAAGTATAGGATTTGTCATAAAAAAAACTTATTCCATACCAAACAAAAATCAATAGCCACAATTTATTAGTCAAAACTTTGAAACCCAAAAAATGACAAACCAATCTAAGCTTTTCTAAACAGCCCTCATTTTTCACAACCTTTCTGAGCAGGTTATACTAAGAGACTAAAAATTTCCTCGCAAAAGTTAGAAAGTAGTTTCAGGTTTTCTAATTCATCAGAGCTCTTTAATCTTGAAAAAAACATAGCCAGTGAGGTTGTATATTGTATTTCCTAGCTAAGTTTCAGCGTTCAATAAACAAAGCGCGTTACTTAGTTTGATAGTTCATACATAAGTCATATCAAAGCCATACCTAAATTGAGCACGCAGATAGTGCAAATAGGACCGTTCTTATTTTTGGCACGGCATAACATGTTGAGTTCAGATAGTTCTTACTCATTCTTTATTAAAAACTTCCATTGATTTTTGTAATGTCTTTACGACAATCACCGATGGCTCCAAAAACAGCTCAACAAGCGCGATTTGACTAATGGAATTTTCACTACATTCTTTTTGAAGCTCTTGAACAACAATTTAACCCAGAAGCTTCAAAAATTACTGAAAAAAGAAGACGCAAAAATACTTTCTAACGAGCTATTCAAAGTCTAACAAGAACTTTAAAAATGGGGGCTTCAAATAACTTCCTTTTCTCTTCAAGAAGTTCAAGGTTTTCTAGAGAAGAAATTTCTTCGACGCAACCATAAATGAAAGTTATTGAAATGCATAGATATGAAAAGTATTGCAACGCATAACCGGAAGACAATTTATCTGCCAAACCAATTGAGAAACGATCCACGTCTGCAATTTCCACCAGCGCACTGTTCCCCTTTGAATGTCTACTGCGGCAAACATCATTTACAACGTCTCTACATTAGCCATCAGCTTTGATTCAACTACAACAACCCCGCCATTAATACACTCCTCAGGAAACCAATAAATCGATGACTTCTTGAAGTGTTTTGATCTAGCTGAATGCAAATCAGTGGGCACACCAGCGGTCATCAGCTTACAACTGTCGAAGAAGGACTGCCCTGTACATGAAAACTGAGGACTACAAAGGAATTTTTGGCTCAATATTGTACACAGCTATGCAAACAAGTCCTGATATCCTAGCTATTGTGACGCTACTCTCTCGTTTCCCGGAGAATCCGGGAAGGGTGCACTGGGTGGCTGCAAAGAGGGTTCTCTGTTACCTGAAGAGGAGCAAAGATCTAGAGCTGTGCTACACTAAGGACTCTGGTGCAGATGCTGATACACTGGCTGGTGGTGCATCCACAATGGCACATTGGTTCAAGAGGCTCTATATCTGCGATCACATCACGATGTGATGAGCGTAGTTTTTGACGGACCAACTGTCATCAAAGAGTCCAACTGGAGCTGCATCAAGATGTGCAAGAAACCTGTGATGCAGATGCGAACGAAACACATTGATGTGAAATATCACTTTATTCGAGAACGAGTGGAAGGTGAGACAATTGAATTCCAATATTGCCCTACTGAATTCATGGAAGCTGACTTGTTGTCAAAAACCCTGAACAAGGCTAGGGTGGAAGAGCATCGTCGACCTTGAAGTGTTGACGCCTGTCATTGGACAAAGCCAATTCAGCCTGAGTTGGGATGCTGAGGTCAGACCAACTCAAGGTCAGACAGATCAATTGAAGCGAATCAGTTTCGAGGTCAAAAACTGATTAAAATAGTCAAAGCTGATTAAATTCAGACAAGGTCATTTATTGATCACAAACTAAATAATTAACTGGTACATTCAAGATGCTTAGATTGTCATGTCCTTTATATTCAATTTCTCAATTCATTCTTCAACAATCACTACCTCTTCTCAGTCCTCAGTTTAAACCTCAGATTCTATCTCAGTATCTAACTCCAGCTCTTAACTCTAGTTGCTCTAACTCTGCATCTTAACATTTTTTAATCCTCGGGGTGCAAAAGTATAGGATTTGTCATAAAAAAAACTTATTCCATACCAAACAAAAATCAATAGCCACAATTTATTAGTCAAAACTTTGAAACCCAAAAAATGACAAACCAATCTAAGCTTTTCTAAACAGCCCTCATTTTTCACAACCTTTCTGAGCAGGTTATACTAAGAGACTAAAAATTTCCTCGCAAAAGTTAGAAAGTAGTTTCAGGTTTTCTAATTCATCAGAGCTCTTTAATATTGAAAAAAACATAGCCAGTGAGGTTGTATATTGTATTTCCTAGCTAAGTTTCAGCGCTCAATAAACAAACCGCGTTACTTAGTTTGATAGTTCATACATAAGTCATATCAAAGCCATACCTAAATTGAGCACGCAGATAGTGCAAATAGGACCGTTCTTATTTTTGGAACGGCATAACATGTTGAGTTCAGATAGTTCTTACTCATTCTTTATTAAAAACTTCCATTGATTTTTGTAATGTCTTTACGACAATCACCGATGGCTCCAAAAACAGCTCAACACGCGCGATTTGACTAATGGAATTTTCACTACATTCTTTTTGAAGCTCTTGAACAACAATTTAACCCAGAAGCTTCAAAAATTACTGAAAAAAGAAGACGCAAAAATACTTTCTAACGAGCTATTCAAAGTCTAACAAGAATTTTAAAAATGGGGGCTTCAAATAACTTCCTTTTCTCTTCAAGAAGTTCAAGGTTTTCTAGAGAAGAAATTTCTTCGACGCAACCATAAATGAAAGTTATTGAAATGCATAGATATGAAAAGTATTGCAACGCATAACCGGAAGACAATTTATCTGCCAAACCAATTGAGAAACGATCCACGTCTGCAATTTCCACTAGCGCACTGTTCCCCTTTGAATGTCTACTGCGGCAAACATCAATTACAACGTCTCTACATTAGCCATCAGCTTTGATTCAACTACAACAACCCCGCCATTAATACACTCCTCAGGAAACCAATAAATCGATGACTTCTTGAAGTGTTTTAATCTAGCTGAATGCAAATCAGTGGGCACACCAGCGGTCATCAGCTTACAACTGGAAGAAGGACTGCCCTGTACATGAAAACTGAGGACTACAAAGGAATTTTTGGCTCAATATTGTACACAGCTATGCAAACAAGTCCTGATATCCTAGCTATTGTGACGCTACTCTCTCGTTTCCATTAGAATCCGGGAAGGGTGCACTGGGTGGCCGCAAAGAGGGTTCTCTGTTACCTGAAGAGGAGCAAAGATCTAGAGCTGTGCTACACTAAGGACTCTGGTGCAGATGCTGATACACTGGCTGGTGGTGCATCCACAATGGCACATTGGTTCAAGAGGCTCTATATCTGCGATCACATCACGATGTGATGAGCGTAGTTTTTGACGGACCAACTGTCATCAAAGAGGCCAACTGGAGCTGCATCAAGATGTGCAAGAAACCTGTGATGCAGATGCGAACGAAAGACATCGATGTGAAATATCACTTTATTCGAGAACGAGTGGAAGGTGAGACATTTGAATTCCAATATTGCCCTACTGAATTCATGGAAGCTGACTTGTTGTCAAAAACCCTGAACAAGGCTATGGTGGAAGAGCATCGTCGACCTTAAAGTGTTGACGCCTGTCATTGGACAAAGCCAATTCAGCCTGAGTTGGGATGCTGAGGTCAGACCAACTCAAGGTCAGACAGATCAATTGAAGCGAATCAGTTTCGAGGTCAAAAACTGATTAAAATAGTCAAAGCTGATTAAATTCAGACAAGGTCATTTATTGATCACAAACTAAATAAATAACTGGTACATTCAAGATGCTTAGATTGTCATGTCCTTTATATTCAATTTCTCAATTCATTCTTCAACAATCACTACCTCTTCTCAGTCCTCAGTTTAAACCTCAGATTCTATCTCAGTATCTAACTCCAGCTCTTAACTCTAGTTGCTCTAACTCTGCATCTTAACATTTTTTAATCCTCGGGGTGCAAAAGTATAGGATTTGTCATAAAAAAAACTTATCCCATACCAAACAAAAATCAATAGCCACAATTTATTAGTCAAAACTTTGAAACCCAAAAAATGACAAACCAATCTAAGCTTTTCTAAACAGCCCTCATTTTTCACAACCTTTCTGAGCAGGTTATACTAAGAGACTAAAAATTTCCTCGCAAAAGTTAGAAAGTAGTTTCAGGTTTTCTAATTCATCAGAGCTCTTAAAATCTTTTAATCTTGAAAAAAACATAGCCAGTGAGGTTGTATATTGTATTTCCTAGCTAAGTTTCAGCGTTCAATAAACAAACCGCGTTACTTAGTTTGATAGTTCATACATAAGTCATATCAAAGCCATACCTAAATTGAGCACGCAGATAGTGCAAATAGGACCGTTCTTATTTTTGGCACGGCATAACATGTTGAATTCAGATAGTTCTTACTCATTCTCTATTAAAAACTTCCATTGATTTTTGTAATGTCTTTACGACAATCACCGATGGCTCCAAAACAGCTCAACAAGCGCGATTTGACTAATGGAATTTTCACTACATTCTTTTTGAAGCTCTTGAACAACAATTTAACCCAGAAGCTTCAAAAATTACTGAAAAAAGAAGACGCAAAAATACTTTCTAACGAGCTATTCAAAGTCTAACAAGAATTTTGAAAAAATGGGGGCTTCAAATAACTTCCTTTTCTCTTCAAGAAGTTCAAGGTTTTCTAGAGAAGAATTTTCTTCGACGCAACCTTAAATGAAAGTTATTGAAATGCATAGATATGAAAAGTATTGCAACGCATAACCGGAAGACAATTTATCTGCCAAACCAATTGAGAAACGATCCACGTCTGCAATTTCCACCAGCGCACTGTTCCCCTTCGAATGTGTACTGCGGCAAACATCAATTACAACGTCTCTACATTAGCCATCAGCTTTGATTCAACTACAACAACCCCGCCATTAATACACTCCTCAGGAAAGCAATAACTACACAGAAACCAATTATTGCATCTGGCGATGAGAAGGGCAGTTTTATGCAGATTGTAAAAAAAGCGGAAGACCAAAATGAAATTTTTGTGGCAATTGCGACAATAGTTGCATGGATCAACCAGCCGAAAAAACAAAAATCATGTACCAGGTAAAGGAAGACCGTCTAATCACGCTACAAGAATTATCCAGCTTCAGGACGTGGATCAACTTTGGTTGCTACCAACATATCTGGTTGGCCTCAAATACAAATACAGGACGACACAGCCTTCTCAACAGGTTGTTACAACTACAGATTAGGAGAGAACCAGTATTTTTATAATACGACAGCACAATTCTACTGACATTTCTATAAGCGCGAAAAAAGAATCAATCGTTCATATTTCGAGGTTTTCGATTGGCATCGTCTACTCCGCGCAACTGTTCTTATTTTGCACTTCAAGGGATTTTTTTCAGCAAAAAAACGGCAACGTGTTTCAAGCATAGACGACGGGAAGATGGCTAAAAATCCTACTAAACGGGCAATCAGAACATGCTAAATTTCCTGATAATTTTAAGTGTTGCCAACGAACTGTTGCTTTGTCATTGTCAGCAAAGCATTGTACTACAAAGAAGCTTTACTGTCCTTCTCGCGTTTCAAAAATGGTAGTTTTCTTGAGCTCGAGGACGACTGAGACATTTGCTAATGCCAGATGTGACTAACTACCCTATTTTTCCAAATCTAAAAGTTTTTTCGATTCAACTAAAGCTAAAAACGCATGCACTTCGGCACCGATTTTGTACGACACTACTTGCAACATACTTTCGTAAATTTGGGTCTCAGAAAAGCTTTGAGGCACAACCTCACTACTGCTTCTTGTGCGGCCGCTTCCAAAGGAAAAGCTCAAGTCCTTTTATGGCCCTTACACCGCTTCAAATTTCAATGACCCGAGAATACCTCTTTTTCTTTTCAAGAACATTGGAACTGACTACATCGGTTCAAAATGCCTTGCTAAAAAAGATACCACAGACACAAACTACTTCCATCTCCCTACTTGTTTGCCAACGCGTACAATCCACCTAGACGGACAATCTGACAACTGATATTAACGTGACTGAATTTTGCAGATTCAAGGCTCGGCGAGGCCCTAAGAAATTATTTATTTCGGATAACGCAATACATTTTGTCGCCGCACGTTCCCAAATCACAAATTAACCCTTAATATACAACAAAAATAAATTAGCAACCAAGTTTCAACTGATTTCAATCGATCGACGTCTTAAATCGTCTAATGTTTCTCATTTTTGTTGGGTGTGGGAGTGTCTCGTTCTGATCCTCAAAGGAGTCTTTCTAATCATAAGAATTAGGGTCGAACAGGTTTTCTGGTGACCTGTATTCAACTATTTTAGTAGAATACGAATGCCTCATATTCCCAAGCTAATT